GCTCTGCCACAGTTGTCACCTTGGGCAAGCTATTTTGCCCTGGGCAGGTGTTCCTGTAAAAGGGAATGATAGCCACACAGAGATACGTGCCAAGGATTTGGAGGAATTCACTGATACCATATACAGTACTATGAATCAGATCTTTAAAATTCACTTTATAGTTACCCTGTAAACGCCCTACTATGTTACTCCATGTTTTCATTTGTGTGTCGACAATCTCTCAGGCTGGGCTGCCAGGAGGCAGACTTGGAGGCAGACTTGGATGGAGCTCTCAGGCAGAGTGCTTATTAGGAACAGTCCTTGTTGTCACAGCCCTGGGAAGGAGTACAAGGTGGCAGAAGGGGCATAGTAAGTGAGCTGAGCTGAGGCCTGGAGCCAGCCTTCACAGACTCCACCAAGAGCTCTAAACAGCCTTTTAGAGTTGTCCCCAGTTGAGCTGACATGACCAGGCTCCTGTACCTCTGCTGCCCTCAGTTGCCACGTGTGGGCCACCCCTGGGAGGGTGGCCCGGCCAGTGCCTCCCGGCTGCTGAGATAGTGTGAAGGGGCTGGCAGCGGAGGCTGGTGTGGCTCACAGCCCTGTCCCCAGCAGCTGGGCAGAAAGTCTTCCTGAAAAAGGCCCTGCTGGTGTTTTGCCTGCCCACTGCCGTCTGGAACCCCCTCTTCTATGATGTCCTTGAGTTTCAGTAGCCAGTGAGCCTGGAAAAATGGGCAGCTCCATACCCAGGTGGGTTGACTGTGACTTCATCCCTCCCCTCCCAGCTGCAGGTGGTGGGTCAGTGTCATCTTTTGCCTTCCTACTTCCCTTTCAAGTTTGCCCTTGGTGTGCAGTGGTGTAGAAATGGAGGGAAGCTGGGGGCGGGAGGAGGATGGATCTGAGCTGAGAGCTCCCTTCCCAGGGTGGCCTGAGCTCGCTGCACCCCAGGGTTCATCCAGATGTGTGTCCCCTTGTTCCTGAGCCTCTGCAGCAGAAGGACTGTGTGCAAAGGGACTGTCTCAAGAGCTGCCTTTCAAATAACCCAAAGAGCTACTCTTTAAAAGCTTGAATTCCAAAGGGATTATTCCTGTCAGGGGAAAGGAGCAAAAGCAATCCAGTTCTATAAACATGAAACAAAGATCAGAATAAGGATTTAAATGTAATGCTCAACTAAGCCACAGAAAGGCGTGGAAGTCTGTATGGTGCTCTGGGCTAAGTTTTTATTTCTGATCTGAAGAAGACAGGAATGGTTAAGTGAGTGGTTAATGGTTTACCTGGTTGGAGGGGGAGAGGTCTGAGATGGAACCATCTCAAGTTACCCTGCCAGCCTCGTCGGGAGAAGCAGAGAATTGGGAAAGGGCCTGTGCATTTCTCCTCACACCTGCTTGCCCACATGGTCCCTGGGTGCAAAAGCGTGGAGACAAGTCCCAGGGCTGCAGTGAGCCTGGTGCTACCAACATCAGTTCTCATGTTGCCTCTCCCTTTGCATGGAGTGAGACTGACTGGTTGGAATCCTCATCCTGCCACCTGGTAGTGCATCCCAGTCACTGACCCAGGGTCTTGGTTCATCAATCTGCACAATGTGGACAATAACCAGTGCATTAGTAATGGCTTTGTGTGCAAATGTACAAATCAAGGCTGCCTACAATAAGCCAAAAAGGGAAGTTACTAGAATTGAAGAAAGCCTGGAGCTGTGGAAAATGAGCAGGACACTAGGATGTTCAAGAGGCTGGCAAGGAGCCAGGGCAGAGGCTACCTGCTTCCTTCCATTCTCCCCGCACTGGGTGTTTACATCACTTCCTCAGCCCCCAGACTCCCTAAGGGGAACCTCACAATGGCCAGGCCTAATCCCCTCCCCACCCCTCAAAAAGAAGAACTAATTTCTTGTACTTCCTTCCAAGACCAACAGGATGACAGATTCAGGTGCCAATAAGGCTGAGGGCTGATACTGGCCAGTAAAATACAAAATCATAAATAAAAATCTCCATAAATGGGGATCATATCCTCTCCCTACTGATACACAGTTTAGGAAGTGCTTAGCATAGTGCTCAGCTATAAATGGTCAATGTTCAATGACAGCTGCTACTAATAGATTAACAAATGGTGTTGTTTCCATACAGCGGAGTTCTACTCAGCAAGCGAAAGGAATTAACTACTGATATAACATGGATGAGCCTTAAAAACATTAGGTTGAATGAAAGAAACCCAAACCAAAAACTTAGTGATTCCAAACTGTGCAATTGCACTTACTGGAAGTTCTAGAGAAGAAACCTGAACTGTAGCAATGAAAGTGAGAAGAGTGGTTACTGCCATTGCAGGAAGACAGGGTTCAGGAAGAAGGTCTGCAGAAGGCATGAGGGAACTTCCTAGGGTGATGGAAATATTCCATACCATTTTAGGGGTGTGGAGGTACTGGAAATAGAATCCAGGACCTCATGCATGGTAGCAAACACTGCCACGGAGCTATATCTACCACTGTAGGGTTTCATGGCTGGATTAATGAGGTAGTTACTCAAGGGATTTATTAAAACTCAAAAATATACACTCAAAAGCTCTGTATTTTAGTATGTGCAAATTATGCCTCAGTTGATGTTTCAGAAATGTAATATATTTCTTATGAACTGATGCAGAGTAGCTTTCCACAGATCTCATAATAAAAACTTAATTAAGCTGGGTGTAGTGTTATAGGCCTATAATCCTAGCACTCTGGGAGGCTGAGGCAGAAAGATTGAAAGTTTGAGCCCAGTCTAGGAAACTTAGTGATTTAGTAAGACTTTGTCTCAAAAAATAAAACAAACAAAACAACAAAAGAAACAAAGCCCCTGCGTTCTATCTTAAGTACCACAAACCAAACCAAACCAAACCATAACTAGATAACAAATTTACTTCAGGTTCCAACTGACACACACGTGTTTCCAGTATCATTTGAAAACCACAAGTGAAGAAGTTTGAGGAGTTTGTTTTAATGAGTATTTTGGTCTGAATGTTTCTGTCCCCCCAAACTCATTTGTTGAAACCCAATGTATAAAGACGTAGGGCCTTTTAGGAGGTGAGGAAGTGACAGGACAGAGTCTTCAAGATGGAATTAGTACCCTTCCAGAAGAAGTCTTCAGGTGCTTATTTGCCCCTCCTCCCACCATGTGAAGATGCAGGAGAAGGTGCATCTGTGGACCAGACACGGAACTACCAGGGCCCTGACCTTGGACTTCCCAGGCTCCAGAACTGTAAGCAGTATATTTTGCTTGTTTCATGGAAATTTTGTTGTAGCACCCCAAAAGGACTAAGGCAATGGGTTGGTTGTATGAGCAAGATGATCTCTTCCCCTAGGAACTGTGAGCAGGCACGCGGAACACTTATACAGCAAGTTGACCTTGTGACCCCGAGACCACACATTCAGAGGTCAGAGGTCTCATCTTGAACAAAGAATAGGCTAAGTTGGTTACTGCTGCACTCCTGTAGTCATCCCAGTAGGAGCATTCTTGGTCTGCTATGTACTGGAAAACAATTGGAGGAGCACTGTTCTAAGCTATGGCTGAGCTCACAAGCCACTCAGGGGAGAGCACCTCACTACCCCGGCTCTGCTGACTTGTTACTTTATCTGTGTGGCCCATGTGGAGGATGCCCAGGGAATCCTTGTGCATTTGTATTGATTTTAGACCTTGGGCTACTAGATAAATGAACAAAATTGTCAGAACTAGGCTTCTCCTGTCCTTAGGATCATCTTCCATCCAGGAAAGTCTAGATGAAGCAGGCATTCTCTTGAGAGTCTAGGAAAACTGCTTAGATGTTGTCCCAAGGCCAGTTCTGCCCTTCATGCCCTGGCAAATGCAGATGGCGACATGCCACTCCCAGTATCTATTCTCTACTTCCTTCTTACTTCTTTATTAGTGAAGTACAATTGTGACCAAGAATAAATATTGATTTTCCAGGGCTGATGTACGACTCAGTGGTAGAGTACATGTCTAGCTTATGAGAGGCCCTGGATTCAATTCCCAGCAACACACACACACACACACACACACACACACACACACACACACAAACTGATTTCCCAGCCTCTCTTGCTGATAAGATATAAACTTGTAACTTCCTTCTGGCCAATAAAATGAATTGATTGGGATTTCCAAAAAGGCAGTCCAATGGCCTGACTCAGCAGGGAGGGGGCTGTTTTTGTTGCTACATCTCTTCCTGCTTGTAATTCCAGCAGCCCATATTGGACCATGGGGCAACCTCTTGGACAGAAGCCATGGGCTACAATGAAGCAGCAGAAATACTGATAAAATCTAGGTCCCACTGCCCTAATGCCTGCCTCTGAATTTTCTTATAGAAGGAAGAAATAGGCTTTTATCATGCTTAAGCTTTTTTAAAATTTTCTTTTCTTTCTGGTACTGGGGTTCAAATACAAGGCCTTCAAATTGAGCTGTATCCCCAGCTTGAAAAAATTTAAAATTTTGAAACAAGGTCTCATTGCTGAATTGCCCAGGTTGGGCTTGAATTTTCAATCCTCTTTAAGTTATTTTTACCTTACATTCTTATGTTTCATGTAGCCAAATCTATATCTAATTGATATATCAGCCAAAGTTTGCCTTTTCTCCTTTGTTCACTGACAATAATCCATGAAACAGCTTTCATCTGTCCATCCTTCATCCTGGAGGTCACTGAGGAAAGCAAACTGGCCAGACAGCAACCTGATTACACACATACTCAGGCATGTTCACGCTTACAACACTACCATTACAAAAAGCCATGTTTAATTCGAAAGAAGCACTGTAGTATCAAGTGGAAATAAAATTTGGGACCGTACAACTTCTCTGTGTAGATTTAGATACATTTAGGGACTCTGAGAAATGTATCCTCTGGCCTTTGGCAGCTACATGTAGGGACTCGGCAATAATTATGAGAGGAAAATTAAAATTAACTTGATACTTTTAAAGATTTTGGCAAACACGTTTGGAAAGGCTATAAATTAATGATCTTTTGGATGGAAATATTATGCAAGCAAACTTTCCACAGGCTTTGGAAAACACTTTTAAAGGAAAATTATAATCTCTAAGATATTTTCAGGTTTACAAAACAACTATTATCAAACATTGTAAAGAAATGTTGGTCTTTTCTACAATAATTAGCCATAACTCTTCTCTGAAAACAACTGAAGGTTTTACAGAGGCAGTAAAGAAATTATTTCTGAATACATAAGTTGAAATTTCTGAGATTTACAAATGATTAGAGACATTGATATGCTGAGAAATGTCATAGAACTATAACAAAAGTCACTGTAGTTTGTTTGTATGTAGCATATGACATGGTATCCAGATAGTAATTTTTGAATACCTTGGTAAAATCCGACTAACATATTAATAATTGGAAAATAGTGCCAGATTTTGGTAACATCTCAACCTGTAATTTAAGGCCCCGAGAGCTGCTTCTTATAAATGGACTTCTTTCATTTGAAGAATGAAGGTTGTTATAAAAAAAAGTGAAGGAAAGATCATTAGAGATTGGTGGGTGGAACCACTTGTAGCAATATGAGGTGATTTCTACATTTAGCTCTCCAAATTCATTTACCAGACATTTTTTTGTTGATGTGGCTTCTTCTTGCCCTTGAGAGTTTTTAGGGCTCATCTCCATTAGGAAAGAGGGTGTGGTATAGCAAGTTAAATATCTCAAAGTGAAGGCTAGAGAAGTGGCTTCACCTATCATGTTTTTCTTTCCTTTGGTGGGTGCCTTTGGTTCTATGAGTTGGCAACCAAAAACCAAGAGCACAAGGCTAACTCTTCAATTGCTTAATCAAATATAGCCAACCTAGATTCTGAACATCAATCCCATGCCTTTATTATAACCACAGTTGAGCAGACTTGGCTGAACTTCAGTCACCTATCACTAGCAATTTGAATTTGTTTCTTGGAAGGTTTCACAGACACGATTCCATTGTCCTCTTCCCAGCTCAAGCCCATCCCTTGGCACTTCTTCTCTACTGACTGTGGTCTGTGTAGTGGGTCCTAGTCTCGGGTTGCTGTGGCCTTGTACCCTCAGCTGGATTGGCAAGGCTGGCAGAATGAGTGGATGTTCCTCTGGCAACGACTGCAGGGTTCTTCCTCACATATGCCTTCCGGTCTGACCCTTCATTGCTTATTAAAATCTTCATCCACTTTTCTTTTGGTTTGTTGCAATGCTATTACAGGAATAAATCATCTAAGGGGAGGGAGAGGAAAGGAAGTGAAAGTAATAAGAATTAAGATATATATGTGTATGTAACAAATCCACACAATGGATGGAATCAAATGTGTACTAATAAAAGTTGAAAAAGAAGTATTATATTTAACGTATGATTATATTCTTTTTGTAAAAATTTAAAGAATCTGAACTTAACATCACCACCAACCAACCAAATGTAGAGTTTATTGGTACATTTTAGGTATCCCTTATGATCACATTCATCATTGAGAATTTGTACCTGTACATGATATATCTTGATTTTTATTTTCCAACAATATAATCGATGATTATAGATGACTTCATCCAACAACAGCAGGACAATATTTTTTTCTTAGGCTCTCTTGGAATGTACAACAAAGAACATATTCTAGGCTATAAGACACACCTTGACAAAAGCAAGCACTGTTGGTTTGTTGTCAACATTGAAAGATTCATCTTTTAAAGTTATCTTTTTAATTTTTTTTATTTTTTGGGTACCGGGGATTGAACTTGGGACCTTGCGCTTGCGAGGCAAGGGCTGGAACCACTGAGCTAAATTCTCGGCCCTGATAGATTCATCTTGTATTATGTACCATGATGATTTGTTAATCCTATCTATAACAGTTGTCTCTCAATATCCTCTGCTGTTTCATCAGTTTGTCTAGTTATGGCTTAGCCAAAAGAAGACTATATGCCACTTTTTGAACTGCAGCCTCTCCAAGTTCATGACAAATGTTCTTAGCAGCAGGCAGAATCAACTCTTCACAATAGTAAAGGGCTCCTTAGCTTTAGCAATGTGGTTAGCTACTAAGAAAAATGCTCTTAGTCCAGATGCATTTGATGGAGTGGTAGCCTTCCATAACTGCATCTGTTTGTGTTCATACTTTTCTCTTGAAAAAACTCTTTAACAGCTTGCCTTTTAAAGTGGGGTGCTTGGTCTCCATGTGTTGAAGCAGTTTTGAAGGTTTATAGTTTCATTGGACAGCCAGTCATCATATATTATATACAAAGTAGGCTTGAAGAATGTGAATCACCAGTTGCAATGAACCTAAAATTTAAGCAGGACTTTTGGTATTTTTTTAAAATGTAGCTTTCTTTTTGTTGGCAGTTTTGTCTTGTTATCTCATAACTGGGTCTTTCCCCCTTTTCAAAGAAGCTGTCTAATGATGTTTGTTTTTGGCTCATGGTTTTATTTTTATTTTTATTTTTTTTTGGTACCGGGGATCGAACTCCGGACCTTGTGTTTGAGGCAGGCGGCAGAACCACTGAGCTAAATCCCTGGCCCAATGTTTGTTTTTTACTCATTTTGGCCAGGGTTAGCTTATGGCTGGCTAGGATTAGCTAAGGTTGGCTTGTGTTAGCTTGTTAACAAAACTGTGACTGAGACAAGCGCATAGTGCAGGAGAGAGACATAGACAGAAAGTCATAAATAAAATAATCAGTGGGCCATGTATGGACTAAAATGAGTGTCAGATTCTGATTTGAAGCCTGCCACCAGATGCAATTTAGTTATCACTTGCCAACCATTGTGAGGGTAATGGTACGAGTCTGCAAGCAATTGATTATGGTCTCTGTGCAGTCAAACCCTTTTGCTAATGTTCATCTGTATTTGCAGCTGCTCCCCAGCATTAGCATCATGGCCTCAGCTCTAACTCAGACTATCAGGCTTTAAATTCTCATGAGCACACAACCTAGATCCTGCACATGTGCAGTTTACAGTAGGGATCATGTTCCTAACAGAAAGAGAATCTAATGCTGCCCCTGATCTGACAGGGGGTGGAGCTCGGGTAATAATGGGAATAATGGGGAGCAGCTTCAAACACAGATAAAGCTTTGCTCATTCACTGTAGGGAACAGAGAAAGGGGATGTTACTAGAACCTCTGCAGTAAGTCCTAGTCTCCTGTGAGCCATGGCAGCACAAAGCGAATTACAGGAAAGGTAGAAAAATGAGACTTTGAGAAGAAGCTGAGCTTTGGGTCTGATCACTGCTGCTCTGGGCAACAAAAAAAGAAAGCTCGTAGCTTACCGCACCTTTTATTCAGTACACTGGGAGAAACAAATGTAACAAATGACTCGGGATAGAGATTCAGTACATCCTCGTAAACAAGATGTAACAAACAACTTGCAGAGAGTTCAGTACATCGGCTGAACAAGATGTAACAATCCAAGAACAATGATGAACTGAGTAGATGAAGATTTTGTTCCTCCCAGGATGTCTTCAGCTGGTGTAATCTTGTCCTGGAGCATCACAGCATCACCGGATCACTGAGGTCTCAGTTGTGACCGGAGGCCAAAATGGAATTATGTCTTGGAATTCCATAGCTGGGCTGTAGGCAGGAGAACTAGGCTAACCAAATGATTTTCCCCTAAAATTATGTAGCATTGCTCCCGACAATTCACCTGCCAGTCGCCTCCTGCTGTGTGGCCAGGTTCCTAACCGGTCATACAACGGTATTTAACCAGGGCCTGGGGGTTAGGAACCCCTGCTTTAACATGAACATAGAGCCAAAAGTCATCAGACATTTGAGAAAACTGACATGAAAAAAGAAACAAAAGCAAAGAGAAACAAAGGAAATGATTCAGAGAAACAGAATATGCAGGAAACAGAAGGAAACTTAAATAACAAAAAAGGAGCTATATCTTCAGAGTAACGCTGATATTACAACCACGAAACAAGACCAGAATGTTATAATGATAATGAAAATAAGCAAACCCATACAGCCCCCTTGCCAACATGTATGGAGTCTATACCACATGACAGGCTACCTTCTAAAAGGGCTATACAAAAATTAACTCATTTAATCTTTAAACCGTCTCAGAAGGTAGGTTCCATTAGTATGTTTGACTAACTCCTCTAAGACCTTAGCTGGTAAGTAGAAAAACCTAGAATTAAACCCAGAGCTGTAGCTTTTAGAAAAAAAGGCTTCAGTTCCTGTGAGCAGATCCCTTTACCATGGAGAAGGAAAGAACACTGATTTCAGAAGAAAATTAGACTGTTAGACACTTGACCAAACCTTTGTAACAGTCTGCATACAGCTCAAGGTATAGGCTACCATCCTGGGAGGAGGTATTGTGGGGGAATAGCAGAAACAACTGGTTCAGACCAACAGCACAGTGCTCTAAGGTACAGTTTTTAGTGTAACCCCTTGGCCACATTCTTTATGGAAACTCTGGAGTAGAATCAGAAGTTTAACGTTTAGGGAAACTAGAAGCCATGGTTAGGTTATGCCATGCTCTTATCAAACTATATCTGTTCCTGGCCATAAGAATAGCTACCATTTAGGGCTTAATCAAATCACCCATACCTCTGTTTCGTGTGTAAGGAAACAGTGGTTCAGAGTGTGGAGCTGACATGTGGCAGAGTGGGGTGAGACCCTGGGCTTACATGTCCGTTTCATTTTTGTTTTATTTTTATTTACTTATTGATACTCGGGATTGAACCTAGGGTCTTTGCACTGACCTACATCCCCAGTCCTATGTTTATTTTTTTTTTAATTTTCAGGCAGGGTCTTGCTAAGTCACTAAATTGTCCAGGCTGGGCTCAATTTGTAATCCTCTTTCCTCAACCTCCCAGGATGCTGGGATTACAAGCATGTGTTACCATGGCTAGCCCTTACTTGACTTTCGACTGTCCCTTTTCCCAGTATGAGATTGCTTGATCCAGTTCTTTACCCCTCCCTCATCGCCAGCCCCTTCACAGTTCTGTGTCCTGATTTTGCATTTGAACATGTGACTTGCTTTGGGGAGTGGGATGTTAGCACGTGTGATGCTGCCAAAGGCTTGGGAAGTGCTTCTTCATGGTGTCTTTCTCTCTTGTACTTTGCTGCTGTGGCTGGATCACAGGTCTTAGGAGCAGGAAGAGAGACACATGGGGCAGCAATGCTCCAGCTGAACCAGCCTACATCAGCCAGCTGCCAGCTGACCCACAAATCCATGAGAATAATTATTGCTTTACACCACTGAATTTCAGGGTGCTGGATTATATAGAATTTTCTTGGCAATAGCTAACTGATATGTCATAAAAATTCTCGCCATCAAGACAAATTTACAGATGACTGATTATTGACAGTAATGAAAAGGCTCAGGGCCTGCCTGACTAGAGCTGCCAGGTTTAACAAATAAAAACACAGCCCCCCCCCCCCCGCCCCGATCAATTTAAATTTCAGATAAACATCAAATAATCTCTCGGTACAGATGGTTCCGATTTACGATGGCTTAACTTTCGATGATTCAACTTCGGATTTTTCCATTTTATGATGGTGTAAAAGTGCTATGTATTCATAGAAACTGTACTTGGCATTTTGATCTTTCTTTGGGATAGTGATATTTGGTGTGACAGTCTCTTTTGAGGCTGAGCAGTGACAGTGAGCCTCAGCTCCAGTCAGCTGCACCACCCCCAGGGTAAACATACTGTACAGGTACTGTGTTGGTAAGCTGTGATGTTCAGTAGGGCAGATGTATTAAATGCAATTTTGATTTATGATATTTACAATTTATAATGAGCTTATTTGGATGTTATCCCATCATAAGTCAAGGAGCATTATATATGTATGATCAATGCAATATTTGGGAAAATATGAAAAACGGTTCATTGTTTATTTGAATTATACACTTAAGTGGGCCTCCTGTATTTTATTTGACAACCTCATTCTGGCAGATTTGCAAGAGTCAAACTATGAAGAAAGCATTTGTGTGTCAATGCGGGCCTGGGCTAGAAAATAAGAGATAAAAAAACCAGAAGTGATTTCCTGTACTCTCTATCAGGCTGTATGTGTATTTTGTAGGGCAGCTTTAGAGCACTTCAGTAGCTTCTTCTAGAGGGACTGAGTCAGAGAAAGAGCTCCCTAAACATTAAGAATGGGCAGGCTTACCAGAGCTTGGAGGAAGTCTGTCAGCTTTCTTATTTTATTTTATTTATTTATTTTTTTTCAGCTTTCTTATTTACCACTGTATAATCTGGGGGCCTTTGGAAAGGCGTTGACTCTCCTGATTTCAGCCCCCTGTGGTACAACAGACAGGAGTATCTCTCTGAACAACCTGAAACCTCCTTCCTTCTAGTGTGGACCCAGGAAGCACTTCTGGTTTCCAGGTTACTACACCACCTGCCTCCTGGGTGCCTGTAGGGGACAGGTGTTGTGGGAGTCTGTGGCACTAGGTGCAGGAAAGGCCTGGCTCTGGACGTGTGTCAAGAGGTCAGGCCAGCTAGCGAACGAGCTACCAGGGAAGCCAGGGGGCTGGATGAAATCAAAGGATAAACCAAGCATTATGAGGGAGCAGAGTGCATAACAGTCCTAATACAGAAATCACCCTCCCTCTCCATCTCTTTTTAGAGGATCCCAGCAAGCCACTGTTTTTGGCTCTGCACAACCTACAATAATTGGCTATTTTTGTGAGTTGTTGCCAACTCAATCCAGGAGGAAATTCCATGCTGTCAGCCAGCAGCACAGATTGTTGCAGGGAAATATGACACAACTCATCCTCTGGGCAAACTTGAAAATTATTACAAATTTCCCCATCCCTCCTCCACTCACACAGCTGGCTGGAGAAGGGTGTAAATTTTTCCATGGAGACAGGAGACTTTCCCTCCGTGTGATTTCTTGTGATCAAACAAATCCTCATGGTTTTTATATTCATTCCGGGTTCCCTTTCCCCGACACCGAAATAGGACCTACACAGACCCTGTTCTGGGGCATGTCCAGGACTTGGGCACCTGGGTCTCCTACACATTCAGTTGATACAAAGTCAGATTCCTGAAAGGGACATTGACCAGTTAAAATTCAGCACCTCCCGATAAATGACACCATGAAAACCAAACATGCAGAACATGATCATCAGGGCAGAACAGTCTTGACATAAACCACAGCCTGCTCATTCAAGGACCAGCATTGACCTAACCACCGATGACTTTGCCCTGGCTTTGGACAGTACTCTCCTTTCTCTGACCCAGGCTGACCCACAGGTCTTGCTCATCAATTTCCCAGACTCTTCTGCTAGAATCCAATTTACTGGATAACTATCGAGCCCCTGCGGTGCTCATCACACTGCGCTAGGCAACAGGAGAATGTAATAATAATGTGCAGGATCTCGCTTCAGGAAGTTTGCTGTTTAGAAGGCAAGATGGCCTACAAATTGCTGTAATGTGAGATGAGACAAATGGGAGCAGCACAGCGGCAGTGAGAATGGGGGGAAGGGGTTTGGAGAGACGCTCCTTACAGGGGCGCCTGGGGGTGTCTCGCCTAGCGGGCAGCATTCGAGTGGGGATGTAAGGGGCTCTTGAAGAATAGGCAAAGGTGTGGAGGGAGACCTTATAGCATGGTGGTGAGCTAAGGGCACACATGCTGAAGCGGGCTGTTGAAAGCTCTAAAAGGTTCGCCATCACTAGCATAGGCTTTGTAGAGAGGGGAGAAGGAAGTTAGGTTTTAGCTTGAGACCAGAGGTCAGAGCCCCAGAAGTACTTCCTTCGAGGAGAAATGAGACTTTGGTTCATGATCCCAACTGGGGTGGGGGCGTCTCCATTGCCCAGTGCAAACAGTTCAGCGCCAGCCCTGACAACTCTTATTTTAATAGATCCTAAAACATTTTACCCTGATAGTCTAAAGGACAGATATGCGCTAATGTTATCTATGTGTATGAATCTTGTGTGTAACAGTAAGTTATGAATTAATGTCCATTGTTAAGCTGTGATCGTGAATCCTTAGGGTGTTTCTTTAGAAGATCTCAACTAGTTCTGTGATCCAGCTGTCTCTGTGGATTAAGAGAAAGTAAACTCTCCCTGTTGTAAAAACTCTGGGAGCAGCAGGAAACCAACCTGTCAACTGAAATTGATTTATTCACTCAACTGGAATGACCCGACCCACTTAACACGTCCTCAGAGAGGGAGCAGTTTACTTCACTCAACCCATAGGATCAGGCTGATTACAACATTTTAAGGTAACATCTTCCAGAGCAAGCGTGGGTGGAAACTACCATCCCCACTTAATACATGGAGAAAATTAAGCGCAATTTTTAAAGTCGCATAAGAGACGCTCACTTCCAGCCTAATAACACATTCATCAGATCACCCTAACCCACCGTTTCCTGAAGTGCAGGATAAATTCCTTCCTTTGCATCTCTACGTACACATTTCCCTTAACCCCAAATCTAGATGGTAAAACTTCTATATCATCAAAAGAGAAAGCTAGTCTTGCATAGCCCTCAACCCTCCCTCACTTATTTTCAGACGAGATCGGGCGCATTCAGGGTGGTATGGCTGTAGACCTCACTTATTTTCAAATACCTGGTAGTCTCTCCTTTCTTCCCTCCATGGCAGCTCCTTCCAACCTCTCCTGCGCTGGTTTAGAATAAATCTTTTTAAGTCCTTTCTGTGTACACAGCTTGCAGGCTGAGGCAGAGCTCAGAGCCCCGACAAGCCGAGGTTGATTATGTGACAGACTAGCTTCAGGCGCTGGGTCCATGAGGCAATGACATGTGCAGCCGAGTCAGCTTCCAACACTTCCCCCTGGCCTTGATCACCCGGGGTCTCCAGGCACTCGTGTATGTTGATCTTGGGATGCAAAGCAGCTGCTGGCTTCTGAGGCGTCTTGGTAACTATGAAGGCAGAGATATAAACATCAGTGAGTACGTCAGGAAGCAGGTGGCCAGTCTTAAGGGTTAAAGCATGAGCAGGGCTGATTCTGCCTTGTTTTGTCTTTTTTTCTTTCTTTCTGTTCTGGGGATTGAACCCAGAGCCTCGCCTATGCTAGGCAAGCCCTTGACCACTGAGCTACATCCCCAGCCCTCCTAATCCCTGCTTTAAAAATTTTTATTTATTTAAAATTTTATTTTGACACAGGGTCTTGCTACCTTGCCTAGGTTGGCCTTGAATTTGTGATCCTCCTGAGCAGCTGGGATTACAGGTGTGCACTACTATGCAGGGGATTCTGCTTATTTTGTGTTGCTAATGACGAAAGCAGGATTCCTAGGTCTCTCATCAAATGGGATGACTTTGATGATGAGGCTTTGTAGAGATCTCTTAGTTCTGCATTTATCCCACGAGTATGTGCAGAGGGGTGAGCATGTGCCAGACGCTGCTTAGGCAGCAGAGGTAGATGTGAATAAAGCAAAGTCCCTGACCTCAGAGAACGTGCACCTGAGGCGACTGACCAACTGTCCTGGTTAGCCTGGGGCTCACGTGAGTCTCAGGACATGGGCCTTTCAGGGGTAAGACTGGGACAAGTGGGTCACCCTATGGGGGAGACACACATCTAAAAAGTACACAAATCTATGCAATAATTTTGAATGGCGATGCATGCAGTGAAGGGAGTAACAGCCAGAGGGCGATACTGAGCGGCTGGAGGTGGAGGATGGAGTGGAGGCTCTGAGCGGACAGCACTCAACTGTGGCCTGAGGAGCCCTGAAGAAGCTCAGAGGGCCAAGCAGGACGAGCTAGAAGTACAGAAGGCTAGCTGTGGCCCGGAGTGCAGCCAGAGGGGAGGAGATGAAGTCGGGGAAGGTGGCAGGGCCTGGGCAGGCCGAGTCTTGTGGGCTGTGGCAAGGAATCCAGCCACCTGCCAGTTACTACAGCCTGACTGTCTTCTAGGGCTTTACATATGTGAACTCATTTTATCATCATCCTCCCCTTGTTACAGATGGAGAAACCGAGGCACGGGAAGGCTGAGCACTCTCCTATGTACACACAGCTATCAGTGGCAGAAAGCCAGGCCACTGGCCAGGAGCTTGGCCTCAGCGTCTCCCCCAGCCTCTTCCTTCACTGCCAGACTTTTAGGTAGAGGGAGAACCACAGTCTGGCTCATATGTGGGCCGAATCTTGTCTGTGTCTTCCTGCATGGCTCCTCTGCTCCTGACCCACCAGTTCTAGAGCCTGATGAACTAGATTATCAGTGGGGCATGTGGCTTTAATATTTTCACAGTGGGCTTCAAACAGAAGAAACCAGGGAGGTGAAAATATATTGCTTTTTTAACATCCACTTTGCTTCTTTATAACCATCCTTGATATGTTATTCTTACCCCTTGTTGAATATATCAAGCAACATAACCATCCGACTGCAAAAGCTGTTATATTAGCAACCAAATTACTATATCGGGTGTGGTTAACAATGGGTTTTCTTTCCTCTACCATTTCTGATAAGATGTTTGCACAGCATTATATGGGGAAATACAGAGCTACGGCAATAAAAAATGAACAAGGATAATTTGTGTTGGCATTTCCACAATAGAATGTCAAATATTTCATACCCTGGTGATATTAAAGCCTTTCTATGCTTACAGCTACTTTCTTTTAAAAAATGCTTTATGTTCATTTTATTATTAATCTTAAGCTGTGCAAATATATTATCTATACTCTTTTTACATGATATGTTTCTCAAACAATACTTTAAAGTCTGTCATAAAAATAAATGTCTTGAGCGTTGAAAATGAAACTGTGTCAGACAAACTAACAGGCATTTGCAATGGAGAGAGGGAAAATTCTTTTCACGGACCTGCCTGGCTTCATTTCAGGTAATGGCCCATCCTTTACAGGACTCCCGGCAAGATCATTTATACAAAGAGACTGTGTTGCCTTTGGTGGAACATGGTCATTAATCAGTGTGGACTCATTTTCCTCATTATTGTTAGGATTCTTCTTTACACCGAAGCTTTTGCGGGGGGGAGGTAGATAAGGATAATCAGATCCTGGATTTAACCAGGAGTCACCACATTTTTTCCCCTGGTGTTAGGAATGGAACCCAGGGATTGCACATGCTAGGCAAGTGCTCTACCACCGAGCTGTATGTGCGGCCCCTGAATCATCACATTTGTAAAAGTTTTCACAAATCACATATGTGAAATGAGTTGAAAGGTAATCTGCATACATCATTTGGATTTAAGGGCTTTTTAATTCTTTTTGAATGTTTTTATTAAAAAGTTTTATTAATAGGTATTGGTTGTATATATTGATGGGGTTCAGTGTGATATTTCCATCCAGGCATATTGCATGCAGTGATCAAATCCAACAACCTCCTCCACATCCTCAACTCTTCCCACACCTCTTTCAATCTCTTGTAATCTCCATTTTACTTTCAAGGAGACTTTTTTTTTTAAGCTTCCACATATAATAAGCTTTTAAATTAATTAATTAATTAATTTTTTGGGTTTTGAAATAGGGTCTCTCTATTAGTTCAGGCTGGCCTTGCACTCACTGTGTAGCCCAGTCTGGCCTTGAACTCATGGCAATCCTCCTGCCTCAGCCTCCCAAGTGCTGGGATTATAGGCATGTGCCACCACTCCTGGCAAGCTTTTTTATTTTTAGAAATAGTTTTTACTACAGCACTCTGAAAAAAGAGATTGAAGAGGATATCAGAAAATGGAAAGACATCCCTTGTTCTTCGGTAGGAAGAACCAATATGGCCATACTTACAAAATTGCTATACAGATTCAATGCAATCCCGATTGAAATCCCAAAGTACATTTCACAGAACTACAGAAAACAATCCCAAAATTCATTTGGAACAAGAAGAAACCTAGAATAGAAAAAGCAATTCTAGGCAACAAAGACAAGGCAGGGGGTTTCACAATCCCCAACTTGAAACTATACTACAAAGCTACTGTGATAAAAACAGCACGGTACTGGTAAAGAAACAGACCTGAGGATCAGTGGAACAGACTACAAGATACAGAAACAACTCCAGACATACCCAGCCACCTCATCTTTGACAAAGTAGCCAAACACCCTCACTGGAGGAAAGATATCCTCTTTAATAAATGGTGCTGGAAAAGCTGGGTTTTGACCTGCCAAAGATTAAAACTAGACCTATATCTCTCACCGTGCACTAAACTAAAATTGAAATGGACCAAAGATCTAAGTATTAAAACAGAAACACTAAACTTCCTGGAAGATAAGTTAGGTAGAACTCTTGAAGACATTGGTATAGGAAAAAGACTTTATCAACAAAACCTCAGTCGTACGAGAACTAGCACAAAGAATCAACAACTGGGATCTCATCTTATTAAAAAGCTTCTGCCCAGCCAGAAAAATCACCAACAGTGTGAAGAGACAACCAACAATGTAGGAAAAATTTTTTTACCAGCTGTTCCTCAAAGGACTACTGTCTAGAATATATAAAGAACGTAAAAAATTCAGGGCCCCTAAATTTAAAGACCCAATCCCAAAAATGGGCATCTGAAATGAACAGACCTTTCTCAGATGAAGAAGTAGAAAGCAGCAGCAAGTAAACATGCGAAAAATGTTCAACATCACTGGTCATTAGAGAGATGCAGATGAAAACAACACTGTCTCCTTCCAGAGAGTTCACAACACAATAATCGGAGATCAACAATCATTATCTGCCTTTTGTAGAAAAGAAAAAAAAAAGTAAATAAAAATTTTTTAAGAAGTTAAAACAACACTGAGATTCCACCTCACTCCAAAAAGAATGGCTGCTATCAAGAAATCAACCAATAACAAATGCTGGGGGGCTGTGAGGGTCCTTTTTAGGGACCCTTCTCCATTGTGGGTGGGAGTGTAGACTGGTTCAACTACTGTGGAAATCAGCATGGAGATTTCTCAAAAAACTAGGACTAGAGGTCCCATTTGACCCAGCTATTCCCCTGCTGGGTATCTTCCCAGAAGAGTTAAAAGCATCATACCACAGTTATATATGAACACCCATGTTTATAGTGAGACAGTTTGTAATAGCTAAATCTTGGAAACAGCTCAAATGCCCATCAACTGGTGACTGGATAAAAAAGATGTGGGTTTAAAAAATAAAATAAAATGGAGTACTACTCATCCATAAAGAATGATAAACTAGAGATGTTTATGGCTAAATGGATACACCTTGAGACCATACTCTTAAGTGAAATAAATAGGACACACACATGTAAATACTGAATTGTTTCTCTGGTGTGAGAAGCTGAAAGTGTAAAGAGCAAAATATATAATAGATATTATAAAATAGAAAAAAAGGTTCAAAGGGTAGGGGGAACTAGGCGGGGGCAGGGGAAGGAAAAGAAAAAAATGAGAAAAGAAAAAATGGAGACAAAGCTTTTGTAAATAGGGAGGGGTGGAGGGGTGAAGGGGTGGAAGGGAGGGCATGGGAATGGGGAAAAAATGAGAACCAAGATATATCATGTACAGGTACACATTCCCAATGATGAATGTGATCATAATGTGTACCTAAAACGTACCTATAAACTTTTAGTGAAAAAAATAGTTTTTAATGTAAACCACAAAAAATATTTTGGATAAGAATGCATCAAAAGAAAAAAAACCCCAGGAGAGATCTATAATAATTCTGGCTTTGCATTTCAAAAATGGCCCTAAAAAGCAGAAGCGGAGCCCCAAGCCTCCCCATGGCATCGTGGAACCTGGTGAAGACTGTGCATGGTCTATGCCGATGCTTGCTGTCCAAGTTCACCGGTCTGAAGGCGACAAGAGAGGTTCGTAAGGCCCTGCTGTGGGAGACAGCTTTGGAAGCTGAGGCAACTCAGTTTTAGGAACTGCCAACAGGATTGCATGGTTGCATAAGTGAGTATAGATACCACATTTGTTATCAAACAAGGTTTTTTTTCTTAAATCTTCTTTCATGGCAAACACAGGAACAAAACCT